TTTTATGGCTTACATTTGTTTTTGACGTGTGTTATAGCCACAATACGGTCAAGTTATGAAGTATGCTAGAGAAGCGAAGTGTTATATGTTCTCAAGGAGCAAAATAGAAATCCAGAGGAAACCACCAAAAACGCTTTCCATTATAAATCAAATGTTATATCAAAAAGAAGATCAGATGCATTAATTCTCTATTTTGTTTAAATTCACCTTCTGATTTGTGAAGCACTTCTGGACACCTTGAATAGAAACAATTTTTGTGTTGCTCTATGAAGCCATCAGAAATTTAAGGCATGGTTTGGTTGTAGGAATCACTTAATTCACATAAACATCCCATGACAAATGAATCAGGCTTTTGTTGTTACTATACTTGTATACAGCTGCAAACCAAACAACTGTTTATAAAGCAGATAATAATTTAAAAATAGATTAATAGATTCATAGATGTTTGGGTTGGAAGGGACCTTAGCAGATCATTGAGTCCAATCCCCTGCCCTGGCAGGAAAGAGCGCTAGGATCAGATGACCCCAGCCAAGTGCATGTCTAGCCTCCTCTTAAAACCCCCCAAAGTAGGGGATAGGAACACCTCCCTTGGAAGCCCATTCCAGATTCTGGCAACCCTTACTGTAAATAAGTTCTTCCTGATGTCTAACCTAAATCTGCTCTCTGACAGTTGGTGGCTATTGTTTCTAGTTATCCCAAGGGGCGCCCTGATAAACAGAGTATCTCCTATTCCTTGCTGCCTCCTCTGATGAATTTGTAGACAGCCACAAGATCACTTCTCAGCCTTCTCTTGTGGAAGCTGAAGAGATCCAGGTCCCTCAATCTCTCCTCATAGGGCTTTGCCTGTAGGCCCCTAACCACATGAGCTGAGCAGAGCAGCAGTTCTACATGCAGCCACTCGCTACCCCCCCTTCTCCCGCCACTTTTTCAGGTCCAGGGCCATGGGATCGGAGCCGGGATGGGGCCCTGCATGGGCTGATTTGCCTGGGGCCCCGCACCCTGCTCAGGTAAGCTCTGGCACCCAAAACTAGATGCAGTACTCCAACTGCGGCCTGACCAGTGCCACAGAGGGGAAGCATCACCTCCCTGGACCTGTACATCATGCACCTGCTAATGCATGATAAAGTGCAGTTAGCCTTGTTGATCACTTTGTCACACTGGTGACTCATGTTCATCTTGGACTCTAATATGACTCCAAGATCCCTTTCTGCTGCTGTGCTGCTGAGAAGGTCATCCCCCAGCCTGTAAGCATGCTGGTTTTCATAGATTCATAGATTCATAGATTAAGGGTCGGAAGGGACCTAGTAGATCTTCTAGCCCGACCCCCCGCCAGGGCGGGAGAACAACAAAAAACCCCAAAAAGAGAAACCTTCTCCCTAGGTGAAGCACTTTGCACTTACCTTTGTTGAACTGCAACCTATTCTGTTTTGTCCACTTATCCAACCTGTGCAGATCTGCCTGGATCCTTTCCCTACCCTGTATTGTTTTAACTTTACCCCATAATTTGGTAAAATATGTGAACCTGGACAGGGTGCTCTCCATGCCCTTGTCCAAGTCACTGATGAAGACATTGAATAGCACTGGTCCAAGGACCAAGCCCTGCAGGACTCCACTGCCCACATCTTTGCAGGTCAATATCAACCCATCCACCACCACTGTCTGGGTGCGACCCCTAAGCCAATTTGCCACCCACCTAGCCATATAATCATCTACATCACCACCTGTCAGTTTATTTAGGAGAACAGAATGAGATACTGTATCAAAGGCCTTCTTAAAGTCTAGATGACATCAATTTTGACTCCTGCATCTAAGCATTTTGTGACCTGGTCATAAAAAGAAACAAGGTTAGTCAGGCAGGAGCTACCTACTATGAATCCATGCTGGTTGCCCTTCAGCATTGTTCTTCCTGCTGGACTCCCACAAATGTGATCCTTAATAATTTTTTCAAAGGTTTTCCCAGGGATAGAGGTGAGACTAACTGGTGTATAGTTACCCAGATCCTCCTTCCTCCCCTTCTTGGGTTCAGAAAGTACTTTGTGTTATCTGTTGGAGTAGAGGGAGTGGAGATTGTTAGAGCAGAAAGCATCCCAGTTTTGCTTTATGAAACAGGTCACTCAACTCAGATGTGCTCTTGTGCCCCGCCAGAAAAAGGGCCTGAAATCTGGTATAAAAATACATCTTATTTTTTGAACCAGGTGGTCTTCATAGGCAGTGCCCTAGCAATGAAGTTTGGCGCCTGGGCCAAAGCCTGCAACGGCAGCCCACTCTCGGCCCAAGTACAGACCTGGGGGGCACATCCCCCCGCCCCCAATGCTTGCCCTGGAGTGCATGCAGTGGCAGGAGCCACCTTCCCGCCATCCCCGCGCCTGGCTGAGGGCACTGGGGCCGGCCAGCCCGGACCTGCCCTCACAGCGGCAGCGGCCGCCCCGGGGCCGGGCAGCTCTGGCCGCGCGGGCGGGGATTAGCGGGGCGGGTTAATCCCGCGCCGGCCGGGCGGGC